CTCTTGATGGTGCGCGAGCCGGCAGACTTCCTATGGGCAACGTACAACATCTGGACGCTGGCCTGTGTAGTGTTGTGATGTTTGGTACTTTCTTTAGGCGGAGTCTGGGTTTCGAGTTTCTATAGTTCTGGAGGCAGTTGCGTGCATCGCAACCCAGGAAGTTGCCAGGCGAGCCGAAAGGCGGGAACCAGGATGGCAGCACGGATGCGCCCCTTGGACGCACGCAAGCCGCCTCTCAACGCCCTGAGCCCTTTGACGTGGAACCCATGTCCCACGCATGTGCTGTAGGCTCAGGTCTTGTGTATATACTGATGGATGTGCGTCTCGGACACGCAATTCCTTAACCCGACCTTCTGAAACCATCCGAGACTCTGGTGAGAAAGGGTGCTTGAAACCCTCGGGAATTGCAGCTTTAACTTAAGCTCTCATGAGAAGTGACTTAAAACTTTGACAAACAAGGGCGGCCTCAAACCCTCTTTGACCTGGCCTTGAGATATCGTGATCAGTGGCTAGCAACCCTCACAACAAAAAGGGTGCAGGCCGCAAAATGCGCAAGAGGCGGTGTTAAGCCTTCGCAGAGCAGCGAAAAGACCATGAGGCCTTCGGCCAAGACGTCTTGCAGTGCGAAACTAAAGGCACCTTAGGATTTTTGTTTCGGACCAAAATCCTCGGGGGGCTTCTTGCTGGATCCGCCTCCTTTCAGCTGGTCCGGTTTTAAAGAAAACCAGGAGCGGAGAAAAAGAAGGCTCTTCCACCACTCCGGAAGCTAAGTTTTTGTGGTAAGCGTACCTCGGTTAAATAATCCTAAACCCCGGTCCCTAAACCCTGACCAGCTCGGCATATTCCGTTCCTTTCAAAGCGATTTGGCTTCAATCCCAGATTCCGAATCCCTAGATTCTTAAACCCTAAAATAACCCAAAATCCCAAGCAGTAGGAGCCCACATCAACCCACAAGACTGCGTTGCGGCGGGCCCGAATTCTTGTCCTAAAGCTTCGAGGCAACTCGGGGAGCCAGGAACGGCTGTGGATCTCACTTGTCAGGGTGTTTGGGAATCCATGCCAAACAAAAAGGTTGATGTGAGAACAGCCGTTAGTTTCGGCAAGGCCGTCCCCATTCGGATGTTCAGGGTTTTACGCTCGCGGATTTTCAGGGGGAGCACCACGAAGCCGGACAATGGACGATTTTGCACTATCGGATTCCTTGTGGAACGACGGCTTTCTTTTTTTTGGGAATTTCAGGCAACGCCTATGCCATATGCCAAGGACAGGCTTGTCCCAAACGAGAGCAAAGCTAGGGCTTAGAGCGCTTCATCGCACTGCTGGAGTTTTTCGTAAGTTGAAACTTTCAGATTCGAGCCTCCGGGTGTAAGGCCTAGGCTCTTAGTCCTGCAACTTCAGGAAAACTCATGTCCGCAGCCCAGAGCTGTTCGACGAGTTGGTATTGGCAGACGGCAAGAAAGAGGCCTGGGCACCCCGGGCCAACAAGATCACCGGGCAGTGGTTCGACCAGATCAAGAATTTGAAGGATGTCTCCGCGAACCTCATGTTCTTGAAGTCAGAGGACGGCTCAATAGTGTGTTCGGTTTCGTGCTATGCCGAGGGCCGATCCCCATAGTCCTAAATGCTCCACTCGAGCTTCAGTTTAAGCTTCGATCATGAAGCCACAGAATCGCCCTTGATCCCATTGTGGGTTAAAGGATGTTTAACTTAGATCCTGAGAGTACAGACTTGGAGTGGCCCTCGAAAGGATCTCGCGGACGCTTTGACCGCAACCTTTGCGAGGATGGGCTCGTTCTTTGGAGTGAACGCATCCCTGTTTCCTTACGAGGCGGCATGGTTTTCTTTCAGGGTTTGGGTCTTCAGGTGTTGGTTGTGGTTTTCTTTTTCTTGGTTTCGGTTTGGGTCAGGGATTTAGCGTTGAGGCTGAGGCTTTTGGCGTTTGGCTTTCGAGGTCCGCTCGTTGACGCTTTGGGGATGTTCTGGCTGTGGGTTTCAGGATTTTAAACTTTCTTTCGACCTTCAAATCCAAAAGCTTGGGGATGTTGCGTTTATCTTCAGGGGTAGTTGGGGTGAAGCCCTCAGGCTTCAAGGTTGCAGGCTTCCTTCGTCTCCGGCGTTCCAAAGCTCTTGCTTGTTTTCTTCGCCGCTGCTTCGGCAGAATGCAAGGCGAGGATGTAGAACACGGACCCACTCTTGAGCGAATTCTCAAACAGGCCCCGGAGAGGACCCTCACTTGCCCTTCTACATACTGTTGTCAGACCCTTCAGGAAGCATAGGAAGCTGACTGCACGTTCCTCGCGTAGAGCTTCAGAGACCCCGAAGTCTTATGTTACCTTTGTAGCCTTGAGCCTTGAGGTGACGGACGGCACTTCGCGTATCGCGCAGATGCCTCTGCTGCTCTTCGGGAAGTTCTGCGGTAGGTTTAGGTTCAGGGGTCTACATAGCTTGTGGCACAAAGCGTCTTTGTATCGTCTACCGAAGTTACGAGACCAGTGCGGCAGCACTTTGCGACCCACGGCAGATTTAGGATACCGGATGCAGGATTTCTTCTCTGGGGTTTGGGTTTTTTGGTAAGCATCCATATTCCCAAGCAGTCGCTAATATTGTAAGTAAAGAGGTTTTGTTCCCGCGAGGCGCGCCCGGATGTGTACCTGTGGCGCGGCGTTCATCTGATTCTCATGAGCTAAAATTGACACAGTCCCCGCTGGGTTTATTGTAAGTTTCAATACATGGGCCACAGTTTGGCTTCGGAATGCTCGACTCCTGCATAAGAGGACCAGAGGAAGCATGTCTGGTCATGTCTCTCCCGCCGGAACATGGGAGCCTGCTGGTCTCCCCACGGTTTCTGGGTGGTCTCCTACGGTCTCCTGGCTCTTGCTGGTCTGTTTGCTTTTGCTCTGGCCTCCTTGTGGCCTGCCCGGACGATCCTGGTGTTCTCCCAGTGGTCCGTGCGGCGCGTGCGCGCGCGGTGCACGCAGGGTGCACCCGAGGCTCTCGTGGTGTGATGTCTCATTGTTCAGGGATCGCATAGTTGACGACGAGAGCCGCAGAGAGCCAAAGAAAAGAAGGTATCAGATTTGCATCCCCCCAAGACTTTATATTTTGCTGATAAAGAGAGCCGAAGAGAGCCGAAGGTATCAGATTTCCGGATGGAGGCCCATGCTGTGCAGCACGAGGCGGCTCGCCGGAGTTGGGGATCCAAACCTGTCGTCGAATTATGGAAGGAAGATGTATCAAGCACCTTAGGTGACATGGGAATAGATAGCATTCAGGATCGGCCCTTGTTTGCAATTTCTCACGCACCTGCAGCCCGCCTTTGGAGCCTTTTAGAGTTCCGCATTCAGTGAGTGTGGTGGGTTGGCCCATGCCGCTTTACGCTGCCAGGCGCTTCATCTACTCCAAGACGCGTGATGTTTGCGAAGAGTTGGATTCCTTCGGGGTCCACTACAGCTCCTGCCTGGGAGAGAAGGACGACTGCGTGGACCCTGCACCTGGATCATCCAAGATGCCTATGCCGGGAAGCTTTCCGTACTTGCCTTCCTTGCCGTTGAAGGCCCATACCTGATTTCAACTCGCCATGCTGGAGCCCCATAAACACACCCCAAGCCCCCAGCTGCAAGTTTGCTCGCGAGCGTCCCAGGAGTCTGCACCATCGAACCTGGTTGTTGTCGGCGGATTTCGGACATGTGGCACAAGGCGAATCTACGACATGCTGGAATCTCACCCGAACATTGTCACCCTTTCAATTCAAGTTGGTGCGATCCCCAATCTGCAACTGGAGTTTGAGGAGGTGGTCTTCGCCCTGGCAAAAGCGCTGCAAGTCCCTACGGGCCGTCAATTGATACAGACTTGTGACCAGTATAAACCACACCAGGCGCAGACCTTCAAAGAATGCGATCGTCTCGTGAACAAGATCAGGGGTTCGTACAACACGTCCATGCCAGCGACACTGGTCGTCACGGACCCCTCCTTCTTTGACAAGGGAGTGGCTTGGTCTCAAACAGAAGCTGTAAGTGGTTGCAAGCTTTTCATGATTGAATCCCGGAAACATTCGAAACTCAACACACCGTCCCTGACAGATGCTCGCGTCTCGCTGGCCGGGTAAAGTCAAGTTGCTCTTCGTGGTGCGTGAGCCAGCAGACTTCCTGTGGGCAGCCTACAACATCTGGACGCTGGCCTCTGGAGTACTGTGTGGTTTGGTACTTTCTTGTCCCCGTCCGTAACCTTCAGCTAACACCCGCGAAACCTACTCCTAAACTCTAAACGTCTAGTTTGCAACCCAGGGTGCTGCCGGGAGAGCCGAAGGGACAGGATGGCAAGACGGGGGCGAACCTTGGACATGCACTCGTAAAGCGCTGGCCTGTCCTAGGGTTCAGGGCGTAGGCTGGATTTTGGACACAAGCGCCAAAGGGATCTTAGCAAGCAAAACCTCTTTGAGTGTTATGTTGCCTACCACAGAGCGTCCAGAAATTCTTGTGTTGCCTTTCTGGAGCTCGTTTCTAAAACCTCCGAGCCTTCACACACGGAAACGTGTTCTGCGGGCTCAGGTTCATGGTTGTTAAAGCATCTTTGGGGTTTAGGGCAGTTTAGAGTTGAGGGGGTTCAAGGCTTTGCAGTGAAGGCCGGGTTTAGCTGTAGTGAGACAGCTGTTCGAGCTTGAGACTCGTGGCTTATGGATTCCGCCCCTTCAGGAAGATTCACGTCCGCAGCCCTGAGCTTTTCAACGAGTTGGTTTTGGCGGACGGCAAGAAAGAGGCCTGGGCACCCAGGGCCAACAAGATCACCGGGCAGTGGTTCGACCAGATCAAGAATTTGAAGGATGTCTCCGCGAACCTCATGTTCTTGAAGTCAGAGGACGGCGCAAGAGCGTGCGGTGTAGTCTAATGCCCAGCCCCTTAAAGCCGAGTTGATGTCCCAATGCTACCAAAGAACCAGGCCTGAACCCCACCCCGGCATACGAGCCTCTAGCACGGATTCTATGTGGACCTATGGTTTCCATCCAGAGGTTGTAGTGGTTCGAAGTTTACAGATGTATAGGCGAAGCCGACAAGAACCCTGAGTGCCCTCGAAGGATCTTGCGAAGACTTTGAGTGCAACCCTGGCGAGGATGGGCTCTTTCTTCGGAGTGGACGCGGCGCTATTTTCTTACGAGGCTGTTTTTCCTGTTCACGCACTTGGACCTGAGGTATTTCGTTTCGGGTACTTGAGATGGTTTGGGGTTTGCGGATGTATGGAATGGGCTCGGGGTCCATTCATTTTAAGAGCAGAGCCTGAGGCTTCTTCGGATCCCGGATGCTGGAGGTTTAGTGTTGGTTCGTGGTTTGGGGCTTGTTGGGTTCGGATACTCCACGAAGAGCTTTATCTGAATCTCTGAGCTTTGCTAAAAGTTTACCACTTTCGGGGTTGAAGGTTCCTGTCTTGCTGTTCGTCTGGTGCCCTTTCGCTACTTCCTTCGAAACATTACCGGGAGTTCCTGACAAGGTGCACGCGAGTTCACGAGGAGATCGTATAGAACATAGACATAGACCCTTTTCCCTGAAGATGCTAGGCAAGCATGCGCCAACAGCGGCATAAGCCCCAGAGAGGACCTACCCGTGCCCGCTCTGGAAGCCCTATAGCCCTACGAAAGGCGTGCCGCGCCGCAGCTTGAAAAAGTTCGAGCGAAACTACGTCCTCCATGTCACAGAGACACAAGAAATGCCCGGTACAAGTTCTGTAACGGACCCGGCGTGGCTCTTCCCTGAGGTGACGGACGGCTACATCAACTCACTCGCTGCGCGCGTCGCGAGGACGCCTCTGCTGCTCTTCGGGAATGTCTGCGGGATGTAAAGGCTTAGGTTTGGGGACGTGCAAAGTCTGGGCGCTCAGCGGTTTGGGGTTTTCGATGTTTGCGTTCTTGCTCCACGCTTTGGATCTCATGGATGCTGGATGTTGGTACTCGCGCACTCAACGGTCTACATAGCCTCTCGCCGACTCGCATATCCTTCTCTGACCATCGCTGTAGCGTTGCAACCGCCACTAAGGAGACCCGATGTTTAGGCTAGCCTAAGCCCTAAACCCTCAACCCTAAACCCTTAGCCCTCAACCCTATAAACCCTATAAACCCTATAAGCCTTATAAACCCTATAAACCGTTATAAACCCTATAATCCGTTATAACCTGCTAGGGGTTGTGAGCATTCCCTCCTCCGCCCCTTCCAGCCGGGCGGAGTCAAGTTGAGGTATCAGATTTCTGGGTACAGGCCAATGCTGTGCAGGACGAGGCCGGGGGAGCGGGGATCAGGAAACTTCGGGTTTAGGGTTTAGGGTTTAGGGACATAATATTTCTAGGGAGGTGATGGGTAGCTTGATTCGGGATGTGCAGACGGGCGTCTTGCATTGCCAGGCGCTTCATCTACTCCAAGACGCGTGATGTTTGCGAAGACTTGGATTCCTTCGGGGTTCACTACAGTGCCTGCCTGGGAGAGCATGACGACTGCGTGGACCCTAGGAAGGAGGCAAACTCTTCCGCACCATCGAATCTGGTGGTTGTCGGGGGATTTCGAACATGTGGCACGCAACGAATCTACGACATGCTGAAATCTCACCCGAACATTGTCACCCTTCCAATTCAAGTTGGTGCTCTGCCCAATCTGGAATTGGAGTTTGAGGAGGTGGTCTTTGCCCTGGCAAAAGCGCTGCAAGTGCCTAATGGCCGTCGTTTGATGCAAGTTTGCGACGAGTTTCAGCTCAAAGTGCCTACATTCGTAGAGTGCGATCGTCTTGTGAACAAGATCAAGGGCTCGTACGACACGTCCATGCCAGCGACACTGGTCGTCACGGACCCCTCCTTCTTTGACAAGGGAGTGGCTTGTTCTCAAAGAGAAGCTATCAGTAGTAGCGAGCGTTTCATAACTAGCCCAAAAGCGTTCGAAAGACGTCCCTGGCAGATGCTTGCCGCACGCTGGCCCGGCAAAGTCAAGCTGCTCTTCGTGGTGCGCGAGCCAGCAGACTTCTTATGGGCAGCTTACAACAATTGGACGCTGGCTGCCAGAGCATTGAGTTTTGGTATCTTCTTTTGCGAGCTGGGTTTGCAAGAAGAGCTAGAGAGGACGGTTGGTTACTTTGCGCAGCCAAGGGCGCTACCAGGCGAGCCGAAAGGCAATAGCCAGGATGGCCGCACGAAGATGAACCTTGGACGCACGCAACGCTTTGGCCCTCACGCTGGGAGCCCAAATTAACTCCAGACATGGGTTCAGGGCTCGAGGGTTTGGGAACTTATCGGCATCATAGAGGTTGAGGTTGGCGAGTTCGGGATGGCCTTAGTTCGCAGGTTTCACCTTTCGGGTTTTGGGGTTTCAAGATGTCGGGAGGTTTAGATCTTTTCGCGTCTAGTTCCGACACTTCAGGAAGACTCACGTGCGGAGCCCTGAGCGTTTCAACGAGTTGGTATTGGCAGACGGCAAGAAAGAGGCCTGGGCACCCAGGGCCAACAAGATCACCGGGCAGTGGTTCAACCAGATCAAGAATCTGAAGGATGTTTCCGCGAATCTTCTTTTCTTGAAGTTCGAGGACGGCTATGGTGTGGTCAGTTTCGGCCATCCTATGCTCAGAAGTCAACCCCTCTCAAACAAAATGCACAAAAACAGCTCAAGACCTAGTTGAAGCCTTAACTCTTGACCAGTCTTAACCCAAAGGAATCACAACTGGACGCCAAGACCCAAAGTGAGTGGTCTTGTAGGCTTCGTCAGAATAGTAACCTTGTAATTAATGGTTTTGACCTTGTAATGGTTCGGAATTCAGATTGTTAGAGACATACACCCTAAACCCCTAAACAACAGCCTTGTCGTCGAAGGATCTTGCGGGCAATTTGACCGACACCTTGCCGAGGATGGGCTCCTTCTTCGGAGTGAATGCATCGCTATTTCCTTCCGAGGCGGGAGGGAGAGTTGTTGTTTACTCCCTAGAGTTTAGGTTATAGGGTTTAGACTTTTGTACTCTTTATTGTATGATTTTACAATGAATTATCGGGTATTATCTCGCATGAGCTTGTCTGATCTTGTCCTGCACTCTTTGTTCTGCTCCATATCATCAAATCTTTTCTATCCTATCCTGATCTATGGTCGGTAGGACATGGTATGATATGACATGATATGATATGACGTGTTGTTTCCATCAAGTATGTCATAGGTTACTAAAGTTTGTCGTAGTATACCCACGTATATGGTACCCTGTTGTGGTTTATTCTTATAGTAGATTATTGCATAGTACATCACGTGTTAGCCCGTTATAACAAATCGTAGCATGTCAGGATATTTGTTTAGTCTTTATAGTAGTATAGTATACCATTGCATGCCATAGTACTGTCGCTTGTTACAGTATGTCAGAGTACAGTATGATAGCATGTTACACCATATCAAAGTTCATTATTGTTTTGTCGTGTAGCATAGTACTTCGTTGTACATTATAGACTGGTAGTGTACAAATAGTATATTGTAGTATACTTAGAGAGTGTATAGAATTTCGGACCCCATTTTTGCAGCTCAAACGCCGCTTTCCATGAACTTTCATTACAACCACCAATAGTAATCACAGTCTGCATAGTCATGCTTGTCAAGCTTGCTTGTAAGCCCCCTTTTATCTTCAGATCAATCCATCCCGTGTCAAACCTGCAGTTACTCTTCATGTCCTATGCCGCATTCTAGAACTTGGGATACTTACAACTTGTCGGTTGAATCGTGCTTGTCTCGACCCCTGAATAATCCATAGCCATAGCAGCGATCAGCTTAACCCTTGCACTTCAACATACAGAATCGAATATGTATCCTGCCATTTCTTGCAGATTTCTCCTCCGCAGTCCAACACAAATCATGTCTTTGTGTTCTGTTGACATGGGTCTTGTGTATCATCATTCGGTTGGTTTGTAATATTCAGTACCTTTTCAATGTTGCATAAAATGCATACTCCCTTGTAGTGAAGGTGCGGGTGGGCTCAGGGCACGAGGCTTGACTTGGTTCTTGGTTGGTCTCGGCGCCCGCTAGTTGTAGCCCAAAAATATTTGGGCAGGGGGGGGGGAAGGTGCAAAAAGAAGATGGTCCAAACTACAGAGTTTTTTTACCAGGTTGGTCGTGGAGTCCACCTAGCCATGAGTCGGATTTTTTAGACTGGCGGTTTTTGAAAGCGCATAGTCGGGAGGCTGCTTGGTTTCGGTTGTCGCTTAGCTGTCGTAGGGCCTTGGGAGCCTTTCAGAGACAGCTAGCCTCAGTATTCTCGGGGCTTGGGGTCTAGACCAGCCCAGAGCCAAGTGATTCAAGCCTCTTGCCCAGAAGCTATTTTGTATACCTAAAGTGAAGGTGTCTTTATCTTTGAGAAGCATCATTGTTTGTGCATGTGTCTGGAGATATTATATATATATAGAATATGCACATGGGGGTGAGGACGTTGCAGTTCACGTCTCATGAGGCCAAAATCTAGAGCAGGTCAAAATCAGGAGTGCTGCTAAATATGGGGTCCGCAATGTGTTATTTTCGGTATATCTATCGCAGATAATAGTATCTTGTAGTCACCTCTAGTATATTGTAGTATAGTAGGCTGCATGATAGCTGTATGTTTTATTTAAGTATCTCATCGTATCTTGCAGCATGTTTTTGTGTTGTCTAGCATTCTATCGTATATGACGGTATCTCACACCCTGTCTTATCTTATTTTACCATAAGTTGTCTTATCTTTTTCCCATCTGATCTTTTAGACCGTTTCGTGTCAGTATACTTTATTATACGACGGTATTCCATATTATACTGTATAGTTCTACTAGGTGTCATTGTATAGGCCATTGTTCATTGTATTATTGTCGTGGACTATCTTGCATCATATCTTTGCATGGTAAAGTATAGGATTTCACATTGCGCGACAGTATGTCATGTTGAGCTGCATAGAAAATACATTATTATGTCTTACATTTTGTTGCATTATACAATATCCTGTGATATTCTACTGTTTCAGAATTCATGAGGTGGATTTTCGGTTTGTTTTGTGAAATGGCATTATCTTATAGCATCTTTGTATATGGTATACTATCATAAAGTTTTTTGTTGCGCCCTTACATTGCCTCATGCACTGTCATGCTCGGACCATCATGCTCAAAGGATGGGGTCGATGATCTACGAGATTCCCGTGCCCGTACGCCCAAAAAGAACGGAGCAGGCAACCCTGAAGCCAAAACTTGCACACAGGGAGTTTCGAGGTATATCATAGTACAATATACTGTAAAAAGTTATGCTATAGTAAAATATAGTAGAATGCACAATGGACCTACGTTTCCAGCAGTCTCACAGCGGCTCGGGAAGTCGGTTCTTGTCAGAGACCCTGATACCTTGTACGAGTTCTGTACACCTCCACCGAGGTGACGGACGGCTACATCAAGTCACTTGCTTCCCTCCTCGCGCGGACGCCTCTGCCACTCTTCGGGAAGTTCTCCGGGAGGTTAAGATGTTGGCTCTGGGCTTCAGGGAAGTGTGCTAAAAATCGCTATCGGGCGTAGTTAAGGCAAGCCCGTCCCAAAGTTGACGAGGCGATTTGTCTTGTAAAACAACAAGAGAGCAAAAACCAACGACAACGTCAATGTCTCTGTTCAGCTGTTTCAGACTAAAAGTATTGGAATAGCAAACTAGCGTTCCAGCAAATCGGTTGGATGTTTCAAGCTCCCTCATGTGATCGTCTGTCATGTGTCCTGGTTTTCGACTGGGCGGTATACCTGTTTGTCGCCGATTTGTTGCTCGTTCTGGTTCAGGGGTCTTCATAGCCTGTCGATGCCTGTCGCACAGCATGTCTTTCGGACTCTCTTCTAGATCAGTACAGGAACTCGTTGCAACCCACGCCAAACCAAGGTGACCAGGTGTTTGGGCTTTGTTTACCAAGTAGTGTCTTTTGGTAAGCATCCCCCAAGAAGCAAAATCTTGTGGACGAAGAGAGGTCTCAGATTTCCGGGTACAGGCCCATGCTGTGCAGGACGAGGCTGCGGGAGCGGGGATAAGGCAATATTTGTAGGGAGATGGGAGGTAGCCTGATTTGGGATGTGCAGACCGGTGTCTTGCATTGCCAGGCGCTTCATCTACTCAAAGACGCGTGATGTTTGCGAAGAGTTGGATTCCTTCGGAGTCCACTACAGCGCTTGCCTGGGAGAGCATGACGAATGCGTGGATCCCACAAAGGAGGCAAGCTCTTCCCCACCATCGAATCTGGTTGTTATCGGGGGATTTCGAACATGTGGCACGCAACGCATCTACGACATGCTGAAATCCCATCCGAACATTGTCACTCTGTCAATTCAAGTTGGTGCTCTGCCCAAGCTGGAATTGGAGTTTGAGGAGGTGGTCTTTGCCCTGGCAAAGGCGCTGCAAGTGCCTACTGGCCGTCGTTTGATACAGGTTTGCGACGAGTTTCAATTCAAAGTGCCTACCTTCATAGAGTGCGGTCGTCTCGTGAACAAGATCCGGGGCTCGTACAACACGTCCATGCCAGCGACACTGGTTGTCACAGACCCCTCTTTCTTTGACAAGGGAGTGGCTTGTTCGAAGCTATCAGTAGTTGCAAGCTTGTCGTAACTAGCTCGAAAGCATTCGAAACTCGACACGACGTCCCTGGCAGATTCTTGCCACACGCTGGCCTGGCAAAGTCAAGCTGCTCGTTGTGGTGCGCGACCCAGCAGACTTCTTATGGGCAGCTTACAACACTTGGATGCTGGTTGCCAGAGCATTGAGTTTTCTTACTTTCCATTGCGAGCTAGGTTTGCAAGGAGAGCTAGAGAGGACGGTTGGTTACTTTGCGCAGCCAAGGGCGCTACCAGGGGAGCCGAACGGCAACAGCCAGGCTGGCGGCACGAAGATGAACCTTGGACGCACACTCATGATCCGCAGGAATGTGATCCGCGGGCTCGAAGGCTCATGTGTTTTGACCGTTGCACAAACCCCAAATCGCAGACGTTAGGGGTTTGTATAAGGGCTCGGGCGTCTTGGAATTGATAGGTAGTAAGAACAGGCTCTGTTCGAGTCTTCAGGCTTAAGACTTGTGGCTCATGGATTCCGCATTGTCAGGAAGATTCACGTCCGCAGCCCTGAGCGTTTCAACGAGTTGGTATTGGCGGACGGCAAGAAAGAGGCCTGGGCACCCCGGGCCAACAAGATCACTGGACAGTGGTTCAACCAGATCAAGAATCTGAAGGATGTCTCTAGGAATCTCCTGTTCTTGAAGTTCGAGGACGGCTGGTGATGCGGTGGGGGAATCCTGGTGGATAGCACTGACTCATAGGACATAGCACCCATGGAGCATCAATAGGGGACAAGGCTGATCAGTCATACAGAGAGTCCTTCTTCCCTAAACCCTTAGCCTGAGTTCCTAAACCCGAAGCTCTAAACCCTAAATCCGGAATTCAGGGGACTTAAAGCCTGAAAGAACCTTTATCACCCTGCTGGTTTTACGTGGCAGCCTTGTGGGGTCGGTTCTGCAGGTACGATCTTGTCGTTGTCCTGGGCAGTAGGGGGTACGGTAGGGTTTAGGTCTTTAGGACGTTAGGGTTTAGGATTTAGGCTTCCGGCTTGTGGATTCAAGGGTAAGGGTTTAGGATTCCGTCTCGTTATCGAAATGTCGTCCAAAAAACGACTGCTGAAATCGCACAGCCCAAACCCTCAACCTTGTCCTTAACATGGTGTTCTTGTTGCGGAACTTAGCTTAAGATTCGGTTATGTATGTACACCTTATATATATATATATATGAAAGCTATGGATATGTATATGTATGTATATATATATATGTATATATATATATGTATCTATATATGTATACACACATACATACATACATACATACATACATACATACATACATACACATACATCTACATGTACATACACATATACGCATGCATATCTATATATGCATATATATATACACACCTATACATGTATATATATATATATATGTACATACATACATACATACATACATACATACCTACATACATACATACATACATACATACATACATACATACATATGTATGTATGTATGCATGCATGCATGTATTTATGTATGTATTTACGCATGTGTGTATGTATGTATGTATGTATGTATGTATGTATGTATGTATGTATGTGCCTCAGTGTATATATATATATAGACATCTTTAGGTGTGTATGTACATATATATATTTTATGTGTGTATGCATGTCTATATGTGTATGTACATGTAGATGTATGTGTGTGTATGTATGTGTATATACAGATGCATGTATGTATGTATGTATGTATGTATGTATGTATGTATGTGTGTATGTATGTAGGTATGTGTGTATGTATGTATGCATGTATGTATGTATGTATGTATGTACGTGTGTGATTGTTTGTGCATATATGTGAATATGTATGTGTGTGAATATGTATGCATGTATATAAGTGTAGATGTATAGGTACATGTATATGCATATATGTACATACGTATACATGTCTACACGTGTGCATGTATACATGCATATATGTATAGATGTATAGATGTATGTATGTATATACTTGTGTTTGTATACATGCACATATGTATATTTGTATACAGGTATACATGCATGCATGGACATATCTATATGAATTTATGTAAGTTGCAGTGTAGGTAGTGTTGTCTCCTCACTCGGGTAATTTCAGTATGACTATCCTCAACACGTTACAATATGCTTGTAAGACTTGACCGTCCGTGTGTGTACATATATATATATATATATACCATACATACATATATATATATACACGTATCTATCTCTATATACATTTACAAGCTTCAGAAGGCCTTGACCAACCGTTACGAAACTTTGCCATGTTAGTTCAACTTTCTTGGCGCTCCTTCCTTCGCACCTTCTAGCGGCCCTGTCAAGTTCTCTAGAAGGCTCGTATCACACCCTCCTAGAAGCCCTGCATTGCGATGGTAACCTCCGTTTGTCGTAAACCATAAGCTCAAAACCCTAAACTCTAAGCTCTAAACCCCTAAGCTCTAGGACCCAGAACCCCTAAAGCCTGAAGTCCTGCACCCCTGAACCCTCCGAAAGTCCACACAGCATCCCAGAAGCCAACTTTTCGGAGGGCTTCTCACAGAACTCGGCGGGGAACTTGGGGGAGATGGGCTCCTTCTTCGGAGTGGACCCGTCGCTGTTTCATAACGAGGCGCTAGGGTTTTCCTGGGCTGAGGGTTTTGGGTTTTTGGGGTGTTTAGGCTTAGGGTTTCGGGGGTTCAGGGTTGAGGACCGTGGAACTTGGAATCGTTCAGGGAGTAGGTTGTTGAACCCGTTCTTTTGGATTCAAGTTCCACACTGGGAGTTTTTCTTTACATGGCTTCATGGTTCTCGTTCGTCTTGCGCCTTGAAAAGATTATGGATGGGGTCCTCTCGAGAACGCAACCTCTTTTGAACGTATTCGCCACAGCATGCACCAATCAAGTATGAAACCCCAAATGGAGCCGCATGTGCCCTTTCTCACGTTAGAATGGCCTTCCCTTATGGAAACCCTATCGCCTTGTATAGCCTCCCTAACCCGAAACCCTCCGCCCGGATGAGGTGGCGGATGTCAACACCACCTGGAACGCTTCGGTCCCGCGGACACCTATGCTGCTCTTCCGGAACTTCTGGGGAAGGGTTGGGGCTTCAGGGTTCATGTCACGGGTTCAGAGTGTAGGGTTCAGGTTTTCGGGTTAGCTAAGCGTTTAGGGGTTAGGGCATGGTCTTGGCTTTGCTCAGCAGTTTTGGGTTGTGGGTAGTTAGTCATGGATTCTTAGCTGGGTTGCATCCTTCCCCTTGTCCAAGAGTCGTTGTGGGTTGAGCGCTGCGCAGCATGGCCTTCTCTTGTGCTCTAGGCCAGCGCTGTAACACAGCGCATGTTCGCGGTTTCGGGTTTTCGGGAAGCATCCCAAGCGAGCCGAAGAAAAGAAGGTATCAGATTTCCGGGTGGAGGCCAATGCTGTGCAGCACGAGGCCGTCCGTGAGGTTTGCCGGGTAACCAGATTGAGGATGTAGGGGGGGGATACCCATGCTGCTCGCGCTGCCAGGCGCTTCATTTACTCCAAGACGCGAGATGTTTGCGAAGAGTTGGATTCCATCGGGATTCACTACAACGCCTGCCTGGGAGAGCATGACGACTGCGTGGACCCCCCGCCTGGATCATCTTTTCCCCCCAGACCTGCGCCGAGGCCGCGGCCTTTCATGCCCGGAAGGTTTCGACTTCGACAGAAAGCGTTTGCCAACGGCTTGCCAACCTTGGTGTTCAACGGCACAGTCGCTCGGCAAGAACCCACAGCAATGTTCCTGAAGCAGAAGCTTCCTCATTGTTTTGTTTGGCGTTTGCTTCAGGAAGGCGTCTAGGCCCAAAGTCCCAGAAGGCGTACAGTAAGCTGCGTGAATCCCCGGAGCTGCGTGGCCCAGGCACCTAATGTCAAACAGGGTGTGGCTGCGATGGTCGAGAATTCTCCGAGTGCTCCTTGGTGCCACACCCGAGACCCGAAATCCTGAAAGTCACGATGATGCTCACGTCGATGGACGAAGCAGCAAGGCCATTGCGGCAAAACGGCACGGCAAAAGCAGGCAGCAAACTGTTTTCGAGCTACAATCTCGTCGCATCCAATGCAACTAAGTGTTTCTGGATTTTGAACCCTCTTCGTCGCAGACAGAGCATTCTCCGTTTCCGAGTGGCTTCCTGCACACGTGTAACCAAACAGCAGCGAAAATCGAAAGTAGTTTCAACCGCAACGGGGCCTCGTCAGATCATCGTTCTCTCGGACAAACTTTGGAAATAGTATGATTGAGTGTCAGCACAGAAATACAATCCCCCACCCCCAACACAGTAATCTTAGACTTTTGCCCTTAGCTTTGTCATCTCAAAACCACACCGGCCCTAAACGAGCGCTCTTGATGAGCCCCGTGAATCGTAGGGACCCTAGACGAGGCTGCGGAAATACCGATTTTCGTGGTGGGCCTGACGTTTGGCGGGATTATCGCCCGCATGATGAAGGGCCGGTGAGGCCCGCGAGCTCTTGAGGTTGAAAGGATTCAAGGGTTGACGGTTTCGAGTTTGGGGTTTAGAGTTTTTGCTTTGGGGCTTCGTTTACTGTTGTGATTCTTGGTTTAGGGGTCGGGGTTGAAGGGCTTTGTACGGGGCTCTTTGAGGTGTTCTACCAGGAGGGGGCTCTATCTGTACAAGGGGCCACTAAGGGGTCTGCATGTTGAGTTATCAGCCTTACGAGAATCGTATCAAGCTTCTCGAACTGAGTTATCATTCTCAGACCCTAAACCCTAAACCCTAAACCCTAAACCCTAAATCCTAAAGCATGTCTACTCGCGTTGAGGGTTTGCGGGTGAAATCGAGCTCGAGGGCTTCATCTTCAGGATTCTGGGCTTATGGCCTTGTGTTCAAGCTCTTCGGATTAGGGCTTAGCGGTTTAGGGTCCGAATTCATGGGGGGCTTTGGTGCGTGATGTAGACCCCTGGTTAACCAGCAACATCTCCCAGAAGAAGAATCTCACTTGTAATAGGGGCACTATATACATCAGGGCCTTTGGTGAAAGGCCCTAAACTGTAAACCCTAAACCCTAAACCCTAAACCCTAAATTCGTGGTTTTCTAGTCATGGGAAGAGACCCAGACGAGGTCTCTGGCCTGGGAAGCCTCTCTATCGGTAACATAGAACAGTCCTCAATTCACCAGAGGTTGAATGAAACCTGTGGAATGTGCCGAAAGCCTAAGATCTACATCGTCGGGACAGATGGGGCCGGAGACCTGAAGCCATACCGCTCAACAGCAAGATCAATAGCCCCCGAGACGCCAGATTATCCAAGCCTTCGGGCGATTGCCATAGGTCGGTTGGACTTCAGCCACGGGGTCGTCTCTCCGGGCTAGAGTTTGGAGTTTCGGAGTTTGGGGTTTGGGAGTTCAGGGTTGTTTAGGTTCTAGTTGTTGGTCCTGGGAAGTTGGCGACTTCTGATAGGAGTGACCATAACCTGCATCATTGCTCTTGACTCTTGATACGGGTCGTGGTAGCGAAGCCCTGAACCCGCACGCAAACCGCCTGAAGGTCTGATTGCAGCTGAGCAAACGTGAGCCTGCGACCCTGGTGTATATGAGGTAGGGTTACATCTGAGGCGTTGGGTGTATAAAGGGCTCTTAGAGACATGTGTGAGTGTCTACTTGGGGTAATAAGTCCCTACTTCATGTAATTCGTGACTTCTGCCAAGGAGTGGATGCACGCTTTGGTTTCAGTCGCCGAAATACGATTTAACGCTTGCTCCGGAGGTTCTGTGGCATGACGGACACACATATAGTATATATATATATACACATACACACAGACATATATATATATATATATTTATATATATATATATGCTACCCCCCCTCATGTACCCACGCCTTGTGCTTGAATCGTGTGCGAAAACTCACGTAAATCGCTACTTTACTTTGTTTGTATGGTAGCATAACCGCTCATTGTTTGCAGCGCGCTCTACACGTACGAGAAAGTTCATGTGACCCAGAAAACGCAACACAAGGACCCTCTTTGTGCTGTAGGTAAACCCTAATTTCCTGTGTGTTGTTGTGTGAAGAACCGAAAAACCAACGAAACAATGAGTGCGTGCTTTCGCTCCTCTCACAAGAAAATAACAGGAACTTAATTAGGAAGCACACACTTATTGCTTTTCATTCACTTGTTTTCCCTTATCAAATCTGGCCTTCTTCCTCTAGCCCTACATTAAATAAACCACAGTCAAAGGGCAAGAACACATGACAGCGGTTAGTTCACGGATCACTAGTGTAGCGAATAATCGGAGGAACGGTGGAAATGAAGTGAATAAATTCGTGGGCGTTTTGTTCTATTTAAATGCAACGCATGGCACACGATTTAGATTAACAAAACACGAACGAAACATGAACGAAGCCAGAAAATAAGAAGATAAT